AAATGAGTTAAAGAGTATAGAATGTTTGGAGCCCAAATGAAAGTATTACAACTAATGATACAAAATTATTTTTGATTATTTCTGCTTTTCTTCTGACTTTATTGCACTTGCTAAAAGACTGAATTTTGATATTAAGCCCAAGATAATGAAGATTTGAAGACAACTTTCAAACTTGAATTTGGCCAGGTCACCATGCTTTGGAACAGTTTCAAAGAGGAAGATAATTGGGATTTTTAATGAGCTTTGAAATTTACCTGAAAGGGGGGATAAAAAAAAAACTACAAAAGAGTTGGTGTTAAGCAGTGTAAATTAATTTTAGGCAGCCTGTTCAGGGTAGTAATATCATTATTTTCTACTGTGATTAGCCAGAAAATAATCTTTTCTCTATTACCTTTTTTTTCTAGTCTCCTCTGGAAAATAAATATTCCAAGGTCACTTGTTACCTAATCATAATGTCCATGAAAATTGACAGGTATTCTCAAGTTTGATTACAGTAAATAGGACAAATAAATCATTTCAATGCCAGAAAGAGGTCAACCACTCTGGTTTTCTTCCCAACGTACCAGCTAGATTTTATAATGTAAGCGTTCAGAATTAGATTATGACATTACTTTTTTTTCAACCAATTTCAAAAGCACCATGGTTCAATTATCTAGAAATGGAGCCCTCTTGCCATATTCTTTAATGGCAGCCATGGCTGAATTTTGTGGAAATGTTTCATTGCATTTTATAGAATATGGCTTCTGCAGGCTGGGGATATAGCTCAGTTGGTTCAATCCCCAGCACCAAAACAAACAAACAAAAAACCCAAAAGAATATGGCTTCTACCAATTAATGCAAGCCTAATACCATTTCCAGCTATGGGAATGGTATCAAGCTAAGTAAAGAGACACTTTAGAAATGAAACTCACTGAATAAATCCTAATTTGGAAAATTAGATAAATGACAAATGAAAGAAAAATGCTAATGGCAGAAAGGCAAATAGTTTTTCTCTAATGTCTCCTGATAATGTTTTAGAGCTGAGATTATGTATGGGCAGCTAAAGCTGAAAGAGGAGTAATAAAAATATCTTCAATCCCGCTAGAATGTCATGTTCTATATTATTTTTCTCATTCTTGGGAGACAAACCAAAAATTACACTGAAACCTAACTGCTACAAAGGAAAATACAACACTGCTATATGATATATGTAGAAAGCATACAATCAGGTTCACTATAAAGCTACCTTTTCCTCATCCATCCACAGTAATTCCAGGGGGAACCTTTTTTTATTGGGTGATGGGGAAAGACTGTGCCTTCAAACCTTAGCACCAATTTCCTGACTGCTGAGTAGCATTAGTCACGCATCCTCCTCATGCCCATAAATGGAGGACAAGCCTACACTGATGCTATCAGACGAATTTAAACAAGGCTTATTCCAAGAGAACCCTCAGAGCTAGACTGACAACACTCCTGCAGCAAACCCATCTTCAACAGAAGCATGTTTTGTTTCATTTTCCGTCTGAGTGCACACTGCTAGCAGACGTGTAGACCAATTTGCGATGGCGGTATACACTGAGGGCTTGGAGCAGGCCTCCTACTGATGCTAAGCTGGAGAGAAAAGTTTGTATGAGGGAAAGTTGAGATCCATATTCTTGGTGTTAAGAAAGTTGCGACTGGGGGAGGTTCAGTGGCACAGTGCTAGTTGAGCATACGTAAGTCCCTCATTTTGATCCCCAGAGCTCCCCCCCATAATAAAGGATATTGACATATTTATTATGAACATTTTTATATTTTTTTATATTAGAGAAGTCATTATTTCACATAATCATTTATTTATTTATTCACTTCTCAAATGTTGGGGCACCTATGAGATTGGCCAGGCACTGGGCTTTAGGCCAGGCAAGCTTTATGAGAAGAGTTCAAATGGTTTTCACCATTCAGCCAAGCCAACTTTAATTTTTAAGCAAAGTTTATAAGAAGATAATTGCCTTTAATTTTTATTGTCTTAATGTACTCTTTTTCACATTTTTAAAGTGGTGCATTATAGTTGTACATACTCAAAAGAATTTGTTGTTACCTATTTGTACATGGACACTATAGTCCCAGCACTTTCCCCCTCCCTCCCCACTTCCTACCCTTCTTAAGGCACTCTTACTTATACTATAGGAAGGTGGTATGACATGGTAGAAGGACCAGTTGATCAAGGACTGGAAATCCTGGGTTTAAGTTCCAGTTTTATCACCAAAGAACTGCAAGACTCTGAGCAAGTTAGTTAACCTCTCTGGGTCTCACATTCCTCTTTCTAAAAATGAGTGGGTTGGACTTAAGATTCCTTCCATCTCTAAAATTCTTTTGTTCTATATAGTAACACATTCCACAAAGTTTCCTTTGTGACCAGAATTAGTCTGTGATTTCCTAACTCAAGCTTCCCTTTTGCCCTCTTTGAATGTTAAACCAAATATGAACAAGAAGCAATAACATTTTGTCACAGCCAACAAATTGCCCTTCCACAGAATGACCTTTGGAGGTCAGGCCACCCATTGCAATATCTAAATCCAAAGGCAATGGTATGACCAACTTGTAAGCTGGCAGGCTGCCATTCAAAAGGATGGAAATGGTTGTAAGCAGCCAAAATTCTTGGCTGGTACATTTTTAATAAACATAGAAAATAAGAACAGCATTTTCTACTTGGATTGCTTAATTYGGTGCCCATACCATTGGAACATTTGTTGTTAGAATAAAGATGATGTGATATATAACTTATTTAGCTCAGGATGGATTAACTTACACAAACGAGAAGTAGGTTATGGAGTCATCTGTAAGGAATTTTTATCCTTGTTTCTTGTATCTGGCAGGAGATAGCTTGAGTCATTACAGCAATCTCTCCACCCCTTTTGGCCCTTTGTAAGAGTTTTCCCTGAAACACAAGCTCTGTTGGATTTACTGTATTGCTATGAATGTACAAAAGAAAACTGATGTGACTTTGTGTTTGAATATGTCTTATTAATATTCTCCCAAGATGGTTCAATATGTCTTAATACTTTTTCCAAGGAAAGTCTCCAAGAAAATATTCCTTGGAGAATACTTGAGGTGCAAGCACTGTAAACTATAATAAGTAAACATATTGACAGTGCACCTAATAGTAGCTATGGTTTTTAATCATGCCTATTGTACTAACTCATTCAGTTGCTTGAGCCCTACATTTTGTCTCTACTGGTAATATGGCAACAAAGATATTTGACTAGTAAGTCTGTTTTCTCTCCAGTGCTTGGAGATCCTTGAATAAAATGCTCTGTGATGGTAGTCTGTAATTAGATATGTGGGTGGAAATTAGTGTTCTTCAAGTACACTATGTTTAAGGCAGAGGCACCGTGCTTTTTACTACCTGAGGCCACCCTGGTCCTGTGCCATCGCTCCAGGTCACTGCTTCTGCAGGGCGGTTGGTCTGCGGCTGCAAGTTCCAAAAAGAAAATAACTCGGTATTGAGCTCTGGATCTAGGAAGTTTTTTATAGTTAAAACTGGGTAACACCGTCCTTTTACAGACAAGTCAGGCATTGACCAACGATGACTATAACTTGTTGACTTTTCATTTGGAAATGTACATTATTCCAACTTACATGACTATCTTTTGAATTGTACTTGGCTCTTAAAACACTAAAACTTTTGAATGGATTCCTGGAGTCAAGGTAGGTCCTCCATTTTGGATTAGTGCCTTCAGTAAGTAGAAACCCTGTAGCTGCAAATCTTTTCCATTCTAGTCATCTTTTATATAGAATATACATTTCTCTCCTTGAAATACAAAACGGCTGCAATTTGGGCTGTTTAAACTTTCACTAGATTATAGGAGTTGTTTTTGGATACTGAAAAAAAAAAAACCCACAACTATAAATTCTGGCTTCCTAGACCCCCACCCCTACTGCCACTTGACTTGAAACGTTTGCTTTGCCTGTATTTTATGTATGCCTTTCAAGGGAGATGATTTTCAGACTAGGTGAATGATAGAACATTCAAATTATCATTAGTTCCCATCCCTCCCCGCCCCCAGTCCGGGATTCCCTTTTCGCTGGTGACGATAGAGGTTATACCCGCTGCGTTTCTTTTCTACTCCTGCGGCTGCACACGGTTCCGCGCGTCTCCCCGCGACTGCGTTTTCCCGCGAGTTGACTGCGTTCATTTGGGGGGATGAAGTCATCCCTATACATAGTGTGCATATCAGCTCATTAAATGGGTACAGCACGTTGGGATTCCTCGGGAAGAAAAGGAACGGAGCGAACAATGATGACCATATTTCCCCCCCTCCAACGCCCCCAAATCCCGGAGGAATCTCTGGGAGCAGCAGCGCGGCGTGGGGCGGGCAGTGGGTCTGACCGGGATGCCCACCCACTAGCTTGTCCCGGTCCTCAGCAAGCAACAGGGCGAGCTGAGGACAAGCCCTGCACGGGGGCCCTCTGCCGCTAGCAGCCCCGGAGCCCCGCGGCTGGGCTGGGTGCCCAGTCACGCATCTCGGCTCCTCAAGCCGGTGCCCGCGGGTCTCGCACCCGGGAGGTCTCGGTGTCTTAGTCGGCTCATCCCGGCCGCGGAGGAGGCCCGGGAGCTCCCCGAGCCTTCGCGGAGCAGGAGACGACGGGGAGGGGGGCCGACGGCCAAGGACAACCACGAGCTAGGAACCCCCGCCGACAGCGGCTGGGGGAGCAGCACGGATCGCAGGGGGCTCGGGGGGCGGGGCGGGGAAGCAACAAAGAGCCTTTCCTCAGCTGCCGTCGCCAAGCCCGCGCCCGCCCCTCCCCGCTCTCCGCAGTCCGGCGGGGGCCCGGCCCGCAGCGCGGGGGTGCGCCCGGCCCCCGCCTCCCCTCCCCCCGCGCCGCCCCCTCGCCCCCGGGGGAGGGAGGGGAGGAGGGCGGCGCCTGCGTGTTCCTCCGCCGCGCGCCCCGCCTCCTCCCGGGCTCCTCGCGGCGATCCCGACTCTCCTCCCGCGACTGCAGCAGCTGCGGGTTGCACACGGCCTCGGCGGCGACGGCGGGCGCGGCGAGCGCGGGCCTGTGGAGCGGCAGCCGGGCGCGCGGCCCCGGCGGGCACCTCTCAGAGGGCGGCCGAGGAAGCTCCGGGAGGAGGAGGAGAAACCGGAGGAGGCGGTGGGAGGCGGCGGCTGCCGGGGGACCCGCTCCGCGCGTCGGCCTCTCCGCCCCCTCCCCAGTCTTTCTCTTGCTCTCTTYTCTCACACGCCGGGCCGGCGCCTCGGCTTTGTGCGAGGAGATGGTGTAGCCCTCTGGCCGCCGAAGCAGGAGCCGGACACTTGTCTCCCGTCTCCGAGCTGCGTCCCCGCCCCTGGAGGATAGACCCCCTCGGCTCGGCGTCCCCCGGCTGCTGGGGAAGCCTCCGCGCCGCCGGCACCATGAGGTGAGGGGCGCGCGGGGCGGGGGCCGGGCAGGCCATTGTGCCGCGGGAGCCGCGACCCCCGCTTTCCACGGACCCCGCCTTCCCTCTCCCGGCCCGGCGCGTCTCCGCGGGTCTCAGGTCTCTTCCTCCCCCCTCTCCCTTTTGTCCCTTCTAATTTCTCTTTCTCGTAAACGACCCCAATCTCTCTGATTTGGGGGTTCTCCCGTTTTTCCTTCAAATGCTCTTTTTTCACCTAGGATTTCCCTTATTAATTTTAATTTGAGCCTGGCTCCCTCCCCCCCAGCCTTTGCAAGCAAAACCCGGGAGATGGGGAGGGGTTCGAGAATCGAAGCGTGCTTGTTGCTGGGAAACAGGTATTCTTCCGTATATATGTAAAAATTTCGTGCACTTTTAGTACAAAAGTCTCTCGTTTAATTAAAAAAGAAAAGTTTGAAAGGTCTGAAATCTCTGCGGGTAATAAAGCGCCTCTGGTAGGGGTAGGTGAAGGAGCTACTGAAAGGTGAAATTTTACGAAGGTGGGGGAAGGGAAAGAATTTATTAGGTTTACACTGGCGGAGGGCAGTAAAAGGCTAGGGTAAGTAAGTTGTTTGGGGTGTGTAAGCCGGGCGGGGGAGGGTTTTGTTTGGAAAACCCTTTTCTCCCCTTCTGTGGCAGGCTGTGTTGCATTGCAGCAACTGCTTTCCCCTCTTCTATGTAATCAATAAAACAGAAGCTAAATTATTTTTTCAGCCTCAAAGGAAAGAATTGAATGTACCGTCGTATATTATTTTTTGATTGATAACGGTGAAACATATGGTGTGATATTTTTCTTTTTTATTTCTCCAATTGTGTAGGAGAATAAGCCATGATGTGGTGTGTCATTCATTGGAGATTTTTCTGTCTTTTCTAAGCCTATTTTGTGTCCATAACCACCTCTCTTCGGATTGGTGCAAGACTTCGTGAGAAATGGGACTTGGTAGACTGAAGCTGATCCATTCTGCGTTATCATCTTCAAAGGCCTTCCTTTTTAGTTAAACAATCGTGGATAAAGTAAAATACTCTATTTTTCTCTCCTGGAAGAGATAGTCTTACAGTTCATTTGGATTTGAATCTCCTTTGTGTTAAAGATTAATGGCCAACCGTTGCCAAGATCTTTATAATGTAATACAATGAGTTTTGAATGATATAATCTACAAATTCCATTGCTTTAACAAAAAAGTCCTGTCATTGAAATTCTTTATCAAATTTAAGTAGTTTCCATTTTAAACTTTAGCTTTCTTTCTTTTTTTTTTTTTTTTAACCTATCAGAGTTGAACACATTCCAACTATTTTTAATATTAATTTTTGGTGACATAGTTATTATGTTTTCACTTAAACTTATTATGAATTTGAATTGTAATTTTTTTGATACCAACTTACAGCCCTTGATATATGATGGCTTTAAAAATTTTGTTTAATCCTAGGCGACTGACCCCTTTTACTTGTGATTTCATGCAAGTTATTTTCAAATGTAACGGGTCAGTTTAAAAAATAATTATGGTATACAAACCAGAAACCATTAATCTGGTAAAATATGACATCAAAACTTTTGAGTGGTGATTTTTGTGATTTATTTATTTTTTTTGATCAGGTTACTCTTGTCCTTGAAAACTCAGGAACTCTAATACAATATCTATATCTATATCTATCTATCTATCTATATATAAAATTTTTCTATGTTTGTGATTTTTTTTTGATCATGTTACTCTTGTCCTTGAAAACTCAGGAACTCTAATACAATATATATATATATATATATATATATATATATATA